TACACATGTTTCGAGGTCCCACTCCATCCTTCAAAGTCGAGGAGGTCCACGAAACACAACAACACAATAAATCATTAATTACATAACCTAATAACACGTTCGTTTAATTGCAAAGCAAGCACAACACGTAATTTAAACACGCATACAACCAATATAAACGATATAATGAGACGAGGTTCGACTAGGTACCGTTCTTGGGAAAAGCTCGAAGAAACTGGACGTAGGGCACGAACGAGGACGACGGGACCAAGAGGCTCGACGGCTGCACGCGTCTCGCCGGGACGAAGGTGCTTCAGCGGCACGAACAGAAAGGGCCCGGGACCTACAACAATGCTAAGCAACAACGGACAACAGTGAACGATCAGCGACAATCGGGCCTGGCAGCGCTAAAGGTGGCGGAACTCGTCGGCGAACTCGCGATGGGAATGGTGCGATGATCGTCGGGGGTCATCCCTGTTCGTTTGCCACTGTAGGATTACCGACGAAGGATGACAAGAACTCAGGCTCGACGGACGAGCCTATGGGACCTACTGCTGGCCAGAATTCCCGACGCTGGAAGAGGCTCGGCCGGGAATCGAATGAACAACCGGAACTTGCTGCTCTTCACGGCGGCCCACTGTTGGCGTAGATCGAGTCACGCGACAGAGGAGGGTTCACCGGCAGTGACTAGAATATGCTCGATGATTGCCGACAAAACTTGATGGAAAAAGACTGGCGCTGCTCTCTGACCGACGTGGTGTTCTCTCCTATGCCAAGATGATCGATGCCCCGTGACCAGGTGAAGAAGGGTCACTGCCCGTCTCTCATGGTGGTCTGTGGTGAGGATGAGAGGGTGCGACGTCAAGCGATTAAGGTCTGTGGTGGGGAGGGATTTTCTATACGCGATTGACAGAAGAGAGGGATAAGAGACCTAGGGTCTGCGCGGTGTGATTGGGAGAGATGGAGGAGACGGGGAAAATAATAGGTGCTGATATGGGCTGGTGATTCGATCTAAAATGGGCTAGAATTTCCACTTAAAAGGGTCGAAAACAATAAATTTCAGTTTGGGCCAAAAGAGTAAATTAAAAGGCTACCGAATTGGATACGAAAACGTCTACCGACGATTCGCTAAATAAAACTAACCGGTAAATATCGATTGGCGGACGACTAGAAAATAAATTAAACCGGGTAGCAATTATATATATATATATATAACACAATATTTATTAAATATTTAATATATTAATAAGCAATTTAAGCATTTAACACAATTAATAACATTTAGACAAATAATAATAATAATAATAACAATAATAAAAATTAGGCATTTAAGCAATTAATAATATTAGGCAATCACCAATAATATAATAAATAAGCAATAATAAGTATAATAAATAATTCAAAGTAATTTTCCAATAAATGGGGCGGTACAGATCTAGCGTCACTATCCGTTGTTACATCAACACTGTTTTCCACTAGATGCAGTAATGTGTCTCTAATTTGAGGTGTTTGATCTTAAAGCCTTGACGCTATCAACACGACTCTCCCAGCATGAGTCCGACCATGACTTTAAAGTAAGCCCTCTTCTTTTACGACCATTTAAAAGGATTTCAAAACATCTCACCTCTTTGGTGAAGTAGATCAAGAGACTGATAACCACATGGAGTGTAAAATGCTTGAGGATACTTATTTAGCACTCTATTACTTACTCATTTTTAT